GGTCCCAAAGCGGGAGTAAATGAAATTACAAAACCACATACACTGGCTACACTCCTAACGCGAAGGTTAGGAAAATCAGTGAAAAGGTCACGCAAAGTGGCCTTTAACTTTGACACTTTCTTCTCTGGCATAACAAATAACATTTGAATCGTATTAATAATAACACCCAGCCACTCACCCAACTGGCGAGGTTCCCAATTGCTTTTCTTTACATTGAACTTCCAACCAGAATGATTCAAATCGTCTTTAACCAGACGACTAGCTTTCAGCGCTTCTTGCCTTGTCCTACAAGCAAAAATACCATCATCTATGTAAAGTACAGCCATTAAACCAAAGACCTCCAACGATAAACAAGAGGCCTAAACATCCTTGTAAACAAATAACAAGCTGAAGACAGGCCAAATGGCAGCACTTTGAAAACAAAATATCTCGTCACACCTGAAAAACACCAAGAAAACCCTAAAAACTTCCAATAATCACAATTAATATCAATGTGGTGGTAACCAGACTCTATATCAAAAGTAAAAAACCAATCGTTCACCTATCATAGAAGACAATGTTGCAAGCCCTTCATACTTAAACTTGAATCGTTGTACGAAAGGATTCACTGACCTGCTAAGATCCAAAACTAACCGTAATTTACTGACAAAGGCGACGCACCTATTCATCAATAGGTCGCTAATGGCGCCCCTAGCGAACTCATCATGGTTCATAGCACTTTTATTATTCTTGATTAAACAAGGCGGAGGCAAAAACACAAATGAAATACAATAGTCCCTACTTAAAACGCCGTATACAAATGAAGACAAATTTAAATTATCAATCCACCAACTCTTATTAGACGCAATTCTACCTTGTACTGAATTTTGCGAAAACTGCACAAAATCTGCTGATTCATAATCGACAAAGTTAACAGCGTCAGAATAAATATCATTAGTTAGGTTTGGGTGGAGTAGGCATAACTGTAGCTGACTGGATGGGAACCAATTGTCGTCCGCCAACTGCTGAGCTGTGTTGTCTTGGTACGTTGAGGAGACAAGTCCTCCAAAAATGTCCTGTCTTTCCGCATAGATAACACCCGACAATCCAGGTGAAAAAAGAAGACATTATTATTATTATTAGGCCTAATACTAACGCTATTACGCGCATTAAAATTGGGTTTCTGCACGATGGCCTTTTTGGCTTTCTCAGCCTTTCTCTTCTCTCGTTTAGATTCTACAGTTTTCAAAACCTTTCTAATGCGCTTTTCATCACAGTCGTCCTCAGCAATAGGAATGTCCTTATATTCAGAGACAAAATCCCATCCATGCATATCCGCTAGAATGATATGCTTTTTTCTTTTTTCTTGCCTTACCTTCTTCCAGCGACGCCTTCACCTCTCTCCAATTACCAGACTCAACAACTTCTACGGCGTCGTCGAAACAAGCCTCAATTTTTTCTTGAATTATCGTACTGTTCTTCATTTCCTTTGGACTTGAACACGTGCTTCGTCCTCTGTTTCCCCCTGAACCTCTTAACTGCTTTGGTGATGGCTTCGTCGTTGGCCCTCTTCATGTCATTTTTGAAAGACTCTAAAAGACCTTCGATGAAAGACTTTAGCTCTGCAAAAGACTGAGAACCACCATGACCACGACTCGCTGTTTCGTCAGCAATATCTCCTGCCCGCGACATATCAACTTGAAAAAAACTAGAAATTTTACACGAATATCTGGCGCGTTGTACGCGTCCAAACAAGCGAGAGTGAACAAACATATTTTCATCAATCTTTTATACGTTATCGTTAATATATGGATATTGCTCTATTTACAATACAATCCATGAAATATTTCACTAAATGTGACTAAGTGCTTTGAACCGTAATGAATGCGCTTTCCAACTCACGCT